TCTTCATTTTTCAATCGCATTTTAATATTTGTTGGTTCATTTAGTGAATTTATTATGTAGCATTCTGTTGTTTTTTATAGGTATTGATCCAACTCCTATTGTTAGAATGATTGGAGAGTGGTCAGATGATAAATCAAAAGATGGTTTTATTTCAGTGTATTTTTGTCGATATTCTTTGTTATGAAAAAATCATGTAGGTCCGGCAGAGGCAAGGAATTATTAAATGCCATAGATAAAAACAATCTCTCTTACATATCAACTGGAAGTCCAACATACTGGCCGATGGGAAAGATCTACGAGAAAATACTTGTAGAGCGTATTAACGCAAAGTATAGAGAGATGAGCATGTGCAATGCACGACAGTTTGGCTTTAAGGCAGTTGTCTCCACCGAGGATGCACTGCTAACTTTTAGAAAATGCATGGCAACCGACATGAGGTATGTACTTGCTATATTTGTGAGAAACCGTGGAACCTATTGCATATGCAGACGACTTGGCGCTAGTAATCAAAGGAAACTCCAGAAATGATCTGGAGAGGACTAGTATAAGGGCGCTTAAATGTGCTGAGGATTGGTGCGTGACTCATAAAAGGAAAATCAGCAGTGGAAAAACAGTCGCAATGATGGTCAAGTGTAGATTTAATGAAGGCAGACCACCTATTATTAACGTTAACAATAATAACTTAAAATATATAAAAGAAGTACGATACTTGGAAATTACTATAGATAACAAGCTAAACTTTGTAGCTCACACTAAGTTTCTAAGAGAGAAGCTAGTCAGCTTCATCCTGAAAATCAGGAGGGTTGAAAAGGAGGAATGGGGTCTCAAAAGAGGCACCTTTGATACTTTGTATAAGGCAGTGATAATACCAATATCAACATATAGCGCTGCTGCATGGTTTGACAAGTCGAGCCACGCGCACTACCTTAGAAACTTGAACGCCGCGCAAAGGATAATACTGCTGACTCTCACTGAGGCATGCCCTACCACAGAAACCAATGCACTTCAGACAATAAGCGGTAAAATGCCACTATACTTAGAGGTTACACAGCTAGGAATCATAAACCTTGTAAAAAGAAACGCAAAAATTAGCTGGAATAAACCCTCAATCTATAGGTTAAAAAGATAAAGGCAGAAAAGATGGGAATGGCAGAAAAGATGGGAATTGGCGATGTAACGTACGCTACAAGAAACAAGTGGTGTCGTACCCAGCAGAGTGTGCGTGTATATACTGACCGGATACGGTCCGTTTAGGCACACACTTCATACAAGGGGCGCCACAGAAGACGACAAATGTCCTTTCTGTGGAGAATGCGAGACAAGCGTGCACATGCTAGACATGTGCGACAGGTATGACGAATTAAGAAGGACAAATCTTTTCAAAATAGCAGGGACTACAAACCTTGATGTGTACCTGGAAAATAAAGTCAATTACATTGGGCTGCTTTTACAGCACAAACCATTAAGACTAGACCAAAACGAAAACCAAGACCTATAAATCAGACTAAAGCTAGAAAGTCAGTCCTGCACAATACCCACAAGCATAAAATTTAAAACTCGAAGAATAATCAATAATGTTACATAGCAAAGAGTGAAAGTTCGAGCTATACAGAATAAGAATAAATAATGAATGAATGAATGAATGACCCTATTTACTTTTTAGCAAAACCACTGCCAAGGGAACGGACTTGGAAAAATTAGCGGGGAAAGAAGACCCTATTGAGCTTGACACTAGTCTGGCATTGTAAGGAGACATGAAAGGTGTAGCATAAGTGGGAAATAGCAATATCGTCGATGAAATACCACTACTTTCATCGTTTTTTCACCTACTCGATTGGGCGGAAAGCGTGCGTCGAAAACTTCCGTTCCGATTGTCACGGTTTTATAGAGCCGAGCGCATAAGAGTGGTGTGAGGCTTTGCGCCGATCTCCAACAATACTCCAGCGTGATTCGATTCGAGGAAATTGCTAGGCGGGGAGTTTGACTTGGGCGCTACATCTGTCAAATAATAACGCAGGTGTTCTAAGGCCAGCTCAGCGAGGACGGAAAACTCGCATAGAGAAAAAGGGCATATGCTGGCTTGATCCCGTTGTTCAGTGTGCACAGGGACAGACGAAAGCACGACCTATCGATCCTTTTGACTTGAAGAGTTTTCAGCAAGAGGTGTCAGTTACAGGGATAACTGGCTTGTGGCATCCAAGCGTTTATAGCGACGTTGCTTTTTGATCTTTTGATGTCGGCTCTTCCTATCATTGCGAAGCAGAATTTGCCAAGAGTTGGATTGTTTATCCACAAATAGGGAACGTGAGCTGGGTTTAGACCGTCCTGAGACAGGTTAGTTTTACTCTACTGATGAATCGTCGTTGCGATAGTAATCCTGCTCAGTACGAGAGGAACCGCAGGTTCGGACATTTGGTTTACGCACTCGAGCGAGCGGACGGTGGAGCGAAACTACCATCCTTGGAATTATGCCTGAACGCCTCTAAGACCGTATCCTTTATAGACAAAGTAAGCAACGAAATCTCTAGGAGTCTCGTGAGTCGAAAGGATCAATACAATGTGATTTAAAGATATTCGGCAGACGCCGTTTATCGCACGAGCCATTTTTAGCCGAATGGGGCGCTGGACAGTGGCGGTATCCATCCGTTATATCAGTCCTGCCTATAGCGGTCGACCATGGGTCACTAGTTCGATGTACAGACTCTGTTCGCGCTAATCAAAGCATGCGGTTATATCTTCTATATATATAAATATAAGTCGGAAATCAAGCAAAACAAGCATAAACCAAGTAAATCAAGATTAAATAAAGAGGAAGATCAAAATCAAGATAGGAAGTTCAAATTTGGAGCTACAGCTACAAGCACAAGCAAAGCAAGAATCAATGTTATTCAACTACATTTCCTTCTTATCAATCTTTTCTTATTTAATTAATAAAGTTTAGTACGATCTGTGACAAGATGGAATCGTCAAAAACTTTAAAATCACTCAAAACAAAGCAACTAGAAATTAAATCGCAATTAGCATATTGCGAAAAGATTTGCAATCAATGGTCACACATGCCTGTGTGTGAATTGAATATTTCTGAAATAAGCCGTTTTATAGAAAATATTAGACATATTTTTGACTTGTTTGAAGATACGGTTATCAAAACAGCAACTTTACTTGATGATGAAGAAGAAATTGATAATTTATTTGATAACGAATTAGAAGAGTTTTTTGATAAATACCACAAATGCTTGACAACATTATCAAAGCTTAGACTAGCAACATTGAATAAATCAGATACTAGTTTGTAATTCAATTTAAATTATACCAAAACAACAAATAATGCAGGTAACATAAAACAGCCTCAATTTTATTTACCTCAATTAAACATTTCTAAATCAATTTCGGTTTCCAATCATGAATCTAACTTTGAAGCTCAAGTAGATATATCTGCAGAAATACGCGAACCATACGACGATAAACAATACTTTACTGAAACGGAAAAACAACGCGAAGAGCATTCTATTACTAATACAACTAAGACTATTGACGGAAGTTTTGGTAATATAATTCAATTTGCAAAAAATATCAAAGACATAGAATATAATAGACAAGTAACATTAAAACGTCATATTTCACTTGCAAACAGAAACCAATTCACCGAATATGATAACTTCATAAACGCAAGCATACCTAAAATAAGTTTATATTCACCTCATCAAGACGTGTTAAAGTCAATCAATTTAACAACTAATTTTCGCGTAATTTTGGAAGCACCTTGTAAATCCTATACTAGTCTGCTGTTAACTGAGCTACAACTTGTCAGACCGAATATCCAAAACGAAATCTGTTTCATTATACAAAATTTTAAAATTCATACTTCAATACTAACGGTCGATATAAAGAGAGTGAGTGAACAAGTTTTAGTTCAGATAAACGACAGAAAGATGCACCAAACAATTCGGGGAAAAAATTCTAATAACAAAATAAACATGAATCAACAACATACGTTCTTATCAATACGATGTTCAGAAGAATCATCTGAACAAAGCATAACTGAACATCTTAAAATATTCGAAATCCCCAGAAATTATTTTAACGTTCATAGTGATACAGCTGATACAATAATGAAATTTCTCACTAACATTTTAACGCGAGCTAAACTCAATCTTTATGAATTGAATTCTAACCACTCCAAACTTTTCTTTCTAACTCCAAATCGTCTAAGCACGAAATTACATATCTATACATATAGCGCGCGAATGAATGTGTTTTTCATTTCAAATTCTAGCTAAAAAATAAAATTAATAGCGGAAAAATCTAGAATAGCACTATCAAAATACATAGCACTCTTATACCTCAAACTAAGTGAGGCACAATTATTAAAAATTCTTGCGCGAAAAATGAAATGGGCATTAAGTATCGCGTTTGATAAAAAATTATATTGGAGCGATCTTACTATCACTCTTATATGGATAAAATCTCTATTTTTATAAATATAAAATCGCTTTTGCGAATATATTTTATTTTATTCAAAACAGAAATGTATGCAAACTACTGGTTACATACAATTTATTAAAATGGGCAATGGGCAATTAGGGCATCGTGCCCTAATGCATTTTCCTGGAACTTCACGCACCGCAATTAAAAATTCGAGTAATAAAAATAATCAATAATTGTTTTAAATAATTGCAAATAGATTATCTTCTATCTTCTTCTTCTATATATATAAAAATAAGTCGGGTTTTCCTTCCTGACGAAATAACTCCAGAACGCGCGAACCGATTTCGACAATTTTACATTCGTTGGAAAGGTCTCGGGCTCCGCAAGGTTTATAGCTAAGAAAATTTAAAAAAAAATTCAACAGAAAAGCGGAAAACATATTTTCTTTTTTTACATGCGGCGTCATCTCTAAAACTTAGCATGTACTACAAACCAAACCGCAGTCGGTAGATGGCGCCGGTAGATATATTGTTTGACACCTCAATGTTCACCGTTCAGTTAAATTCAGGTGACAAACCGGCATTGTGTTTACAGTGAAATTGTGCAAAAAAGTTAAATAAGTTATTCTTTTCCGTATATCACGTGTTTTGTGCAAATTTTTGTCTTTAAAGCAGGCGTTTGTTTTTAAGGTGGTAAGTTAAACTGTGTAAATTATGTGGATAGTGCATTTGAGTTTAAATTCACCACTCTGTCCATAGTCTGAAATGCCTATAGGACGACGTGCGAACATCGGTCGCCGCACAAGACATGCAAGCCAGCAGCAAGTGTATTTACTAAACTTAAGCGAAGGCAGACAAAATATAATAAGACAAAATGCCCGGTTAAGACAACGCATCAGTACACGTAGATCATTGACATCATACAATCGCTTGGCATTCCAGTATGATCCCACTGCAAACTACAGTGATGATAAAAATTTCGATATTGGACCAATGACGACTATATGCCGATATTGCAATGCGTTAAAGTTCAAAAGAGAAACGGCTGGATTGTGCTGCGCAAGTGGAAAAGTAAAACTGGATCCATTACTTGCACCACCAGTGCCACTGAAATCATTGTTTGATGGAAGTGACCCCGATTCCAGCCATTTTCTTCAACACATCCTTCAATACAATAACTGCTTTCGCATGACTTCCTTTGGAGCTAATATCATTCAAGAAGGCGGCTTCATGCCGACTTGCAAGGTAAAAGATACAACGCACATAACCAATTACTCACACCAACACAATGAATTGCACACCACACACTACACCATCACACGATCAGAAGTTACACCGTATTCTTCAACTAATGATTGTTTGCAATTACAGATACAAGGACAAATATACCATTTGCATGGTTCAATGGTGCCAACACCAAATGAACAGCATCAATTTCTGCAAATATATTTAATTTCGTCGATGGTGGATCAGCTGAATGTGCGGTGCAATATGCAGGAAGAGTTAAAGAGACGAGTTATTGAACAGTTGCAATCATTTTTTCACGCTAATAATGCTGTGGTTAACATGTTCAAAACAGCATTGGAACGAATGCCATCAGATACCAGAGCTGTCAAGAACCGTCATTTTCAAGAACCGGTTCCAAAGTCCAAAAAGGACCCGGTTCCGGAAGAACCGTGGTCGGTTCCAACCCGGAAAAGTCCGGATCGATCCCGGAAAATTCAAGACCGCTCCGGAAAAAAGTCCGGCTACTTTTTTCTTATTAACTTCCCGTAGGGTAAGTTATTGTAATGGGCCGAAAATCGAAATTGAAAATTTTTACATTTCTCGACGTTTTGAAGGTTTCTGAACGTTTTGGCATACCTCAGAAAAAAGGGTTGTTTGTGTGTGTGTGTCACGTTTCCGGGCGCGCGGATCAACCGATTTGAATGGTTAAAAAAACATTCGATTTCTATTGATAGGAAAAAGAGCTTATTAGTTTTTTGCAAAGGCAGGTCCAGCCGTTACGGAGATAGGAAGCAAAGAGTGCAGAAAATAGAAATCGAGTTTTTGAGAGAACGGAGTATCCGATTTGAATGATCTAAAAAACATTCAATTAGTAATGATTGGGAGAAGTGTTTATTAGTTTTTGGCAAAGGCAGGCCCAGCCATTTCAAAGATACGGAGCTAAATATGTAAAAAATGGCAGTTTTTGAGAGAACTAAGCGTCCGATTCAAATGATTCAAAGAACATTCTGCTTGTCTTAACAAAATAATTGATTTTGGAAAAGAAACATTTTGTTTAAATTTTTTTTTTCAAAAAATTTTTTTTTGTATATCGAAAATAATTCAGATTTTTCTTTTAATTCTGACTATAGTTCTATGGCGTCTCCTGACACCTGGCGGTGAGAGTAACAACTAGAAACGCCAATACCAACTTCATAGACACGTTGCGTGTGAAGAACGTCGCAAACTGTCAAGTTGGCGACGGCGCATCGTGCAACACTTGCGTGGGCTCGAGGGATGCGAAAAATGCAATCTCACTCTCTTGTTCATCAACCCTTGGAAGAGTGAAGACATAAACCTAACCTAAATATATTTTATATCAGTGAAATACTTTATACTTGTTTTGTTATTATTATCGGAAATCAAACACTTTTCCGATTATAAAATATTTATTCATTTATGCCGTGATAAATTTCATAAATTTATCTGAACCAAAACTTTACATAGTTCAAAACAAATGATCCAACAAAAACCCATTTCAATTATTATTTTTGTCTCGCTTACTAAAATTGACGCGACCTGCCAATCTCCCACATATTCCCCCTCCCAGTGACGTTGTCACGGAGGAACCATTCGTGGGTGATTGTAAACATCTCAATCATTTGTTTTCACCGCTATTTCGTAGGCTGGTTTAATCCGATCTACTGAAACGGTGACATTTTCACCACGTATCATCAATTTGAAAGTTTTTGAAGATCGTGATAAAACTTCAAATGGGCCTTCATAAGGGTTCTGCAGAGGTCTTTTTGGTCCATCATTTCGAAGGAATACATATTTAGCCTTTTCTATCTCCTTGAACCTAAAGGTTGGTTTTACTCCATGCCTTGTGCCAGTCACAGGCCTAACCATTTTCATCTGCTTCCTAAGATTTTTTACAAAATCGGTCTCACTATGACTGGTCTCTTGGGTTGGTACCAGCATGGCACCCGGTAATCTTAAAGTCTCGCCATATAACATCTCAGCGACAGTCGCTTGAAGATCTTCTTTCCATGCTGATCGAATACCAAGCATAACCGTCGGTAATATCTCCGTCCAACGCTCAGTATTATGACATCTTATCGCGGCTTTTAATTGTCTATGAAATCTTTCAACCTTACCATTAGAAGCCGGGTGATAAGCAGTTGTCCTGAAATGTGTAGTTCCCATTAATCGGTTGAGCTGCTCAAATAAACACGATTCAAACTGTCTACCCTGATCTGATGTAACTCTTAAGGGAGCTCCGAATCTTGCTATCCAGTGAGAAAAGAATGCTCTTGCTACTGTAGCTGCTTCCTGATTTTCTATAGGGATGGCTTCAGGCCAACGTGAAAAACGATCTACGCATGTTAGACAATAACGATATCCATCTGATAACGGCATAATCACGATGTCGACGTGTACATGCTCAAATCGTGCTCCTGGCAATGGAAATACTCCCGGTCTTGAGACAATGTGTCGACTAATTTTTGAACGCTGACACTCTAGACAGCTGCGAGCCCATTGTCGACAATCCTTCTTAATGGAAGGCCATACATAATGTTGCGTTACCAATCTAATGGTAGCATTTGCTCCAGGATGCGACAAACCATGTAGGCTATTGAATATAGCACGGCGAAATCTTCTTGGTATCACCGGCCGAATGATTGGTTGAGATACATCGCACAATAACGATGTTCCCAATTCTTCAATAAAAATTCTTTTTAATTTAAGAGAATGGTCAGAATGTAATAACAATTGTGCCATGTCTATATCCTTATGTTGTTCATCTGCAATCGCCTTAAAATCTATATCACATTTGTTAACTATCTGTGATGAAAATGCGGCGTGAGTTATTTGGGCGTTTGTCACTAGTCGCCATTAATGACCGCCCGTACCGTTTCCCGACTTAAAATTACATGGCGATATACACCTCCTCGCATGACTTCCGTAGCGTCTATGAAACCGACATAAGTTATCTTGTCGTCTTCTAAACGACACTTCCTTCTTATGATACATTTGAAGCTTATCCAAACGCTTTGAAACAGCTTCGATATCTTGACGCATTTGACGCAGATCAGCATTCTTTGTTTCAATCTCAGAGGTTTGTGCATCTGTAATCACAGCTACACGTTGCTGTGAATGGTTAATAAATAAGCGGTCAGCTAGTTCACCTACCTCTTGTATTGACTGTGCTCCAGAAGCAATCTCCAAAAATGGTTGAATTTCCACTGGAAGTCTGGATAACCATATTGCTTTAACTGCGTTATCGGTCATCGAAGTCCCGACTAAAGTCCTCAAATGACGTAGGTATTGAGAAGGCGTCCTATCACCCAAATCTACATCAGACATAAACAACTGCAACTTTGACTTCTCCGAAGTGCCTAACCTTGAAATTAACGTAGCCTTCAAAGTAGAATAAGGCTTCTCTTCAGGCTCATTGATTATCAAATCTCGCACTTCGGTTGAATGTCTAATATCCAACCTGGTAACCAATAATGCATATTTCTCCTTCTCATCGTGGATATTGGAAGATGCGAATGCCTTCTCTATCAAAGCAAACCAAAGTTCCAAGTCATTTGGAATAAATTCAGGAATGTGCAGTTTGTGGCAGCTAAAATGTCCGTGTTGGCGCGGCATAATATCAAACGACAGGAGTCACCACTATCGGAAATCAAACACTTTTCCGATTATAAAATATTTATTCATTTATGCCGTGATAAATTTCATAAATTTATCTGAACCAAAACTTTACATAGTTCAAAACAAATGATCCAACAAAAACCCATGTCAATTATTATTTTTGTCTCGCTTACTAAAATTGACGCGACCTGCCAATCTCCCACATTATAAATTAAACCTATATACACGTTATTCAGTTCTTTTAATTATAAATATAAATTATATATAGACCCAACATCTATATAATTGGTGACCGCGACTGAGAAAACACGTGGCTGAATTCTGATCTTGATACTACAAGCGAGGTATACTATATCATTAATAATGTCTTCACCCGCAAACACTGAAGCCTCACAAGATCTAAATCGATCGCTCATCGATTTTGACGAAACTCAAGTTCGCACGCCATGTGCGAGCAACTCCAACCAAGTGAACAATGATTTAAAAACGGAACAAATTTACAACGTGGGCAGGTATACAATAACCCCGTTCATGGAAGATGCTCCTGATCTATGGTTCCTGTTGATTGAGACAGAGTTTCTTGGAGATAGGATCAAATCCGACCATGCGAAGTACACGGCGGTATTGCGTGCTCTGGACAGGTCCACTTTACACCTGGTAAGCGATGTGTTGCGAAATCCGCCAACCGAAAATAAATACAACACGTTGAAGAGCATAATCCTAGACCGAGTATCCGAGTCGAGGTCAAAGCAAGTAGACAAATTGTTAACAAACGTTGTCCTAGGTGACAAAAAGCCATCCCAGCTACTACGGGAAATGATTGACCTGGCTCGGAGTGAAATCTCGGAGGATATCATCCATAAACTTTGGTTGGACAGACTCCCACAACACATCCGGCCTCTACTGCTTGTATCGAAAAACATTGGGCTACAAGCCATTGGCGAGATGGCAGACAGGCTTGTAGATACTTGTGGACTGCCATCATCGGTGATGGCCACAGCGAGCAGAGCACCTGAACCAAGAAGTGACCGCACCCAAGAAATTCTGCTTGCCATGATGCAGAAACTAAATGCCTTGACGACAGAAGTGGAGAATTTAAAACATAGCAGAGAACATGACGAGAGAAGCAGGACCAGAAGTCACTCCAGGCACAGGAGAGGGAGATCAAAGACGCCGTCCAAATCACAGCTATGCTTTTACCATAGCAGGTTTGGAGAGAAGGCTACCAAATGCATAGAACCCTGTTTGGTTAAGACTCTCCTGAAGCCGGAAAACTAAAGTCACCATCAACACCAGGAGCAAGTAATGATGGTGATATTAATTCTGTCTGTCCAGAGCTCCGACTATGTGTGACAGACAGAAAAACACGGATAAATTTTCTTATAGACTCTGGCTCCGTTCTCTCGATTCTTCCAGCTAGCAAGTTTGCAACCGGTCGTGCCAAGGAAGAGCATGTTCTGTATGCAGCCAATTCCAGCCGAATATCCACCTATGGAAAGCGGACTCTCGAGCTGGACCTTTCGCTGCGCAGACCCTTCACTTGGCAATTCACAGTAGCAGATGTGGCAACAGCCATAATCGGTGCAGACTTGCTAAGCTACTACAATCTACTAATAGACCTGAAAGGCAAAAGACTAATTGATTCAACGACAGGCTTAGCCTCTGATGGCAAAGTGCTGAAGACCCAGAACATTAACATTTCCACAATTAACCCACACCAACCTTTCAGGAGCTTACTAAACAAATATATAACAATCACTAGAACACCACAGAGACTAACAATTAAACCATCTCCTTTCGCACACAGGATTCCCACAACAGGTCCACCAGTCGCTGCCCGGTTCAGGAAGATTTTTGGTGAGAAAGCATCAGCTGCAAAAGCCGAGATACAAAATCTCCTGAACAGGGGCATT